ACTAGGCTTTAACTAGGCTAAAAAATCATATCATTTATTTGTCTTTTAGTTGATGACGGACCTTAAATCAGCATATCTTCCTGAAAATATAGAAATAGATTAACTTTTGACTTCCGATAAGAATAAAGTTAAATTGTAAAAACACAAATTAACACAAAAATTTTAAATATAAAAATTAAAAAATTTAAGATATATAAAAAAGTAAAAAATCTGTTGAAATGTCTAAATTATTAAATGTAAGTTTTTGCTTATTTACTTTAAAACTTAACTTAACTTTTATAGTAAATAAATGAAAATTGCAAATTTTAACAGAATCATCGACCGGTAGTGGAACCGACTATTCCAGTGCCTTTTTAAATACTAGTTCAAGTGAATTAAGCTCAAGGGATGAAGTGCACCAACCAGCATGGCAATATTGGGAATTTTATCGAAACTCTTAATAATTTTTCCGATGAAGATTTCAGGAAAAATTTTAGAAAAAATTTTTAACGTTGTACTACGAATCATTTTACGGGTATGTGCGAATAGGAAAAACAATTGTTCTTTATTAATTATATTTTATATCAATATAATTTTTTTTTTTAAATTTATTTTCTTATATTGCGATCTGTCAATTCGGAATAGACAATAAACAATATCTAAAAGTGACTAAATACTTAAAATTTTTGTGAGCTTGAAGGGACTGTGCTCAGTAGTACATCCGTCTGTTGGAGTCGGACACATTAAAGTTCCAGTGGCGTTTGTTTGCGAAGGCGTGTGAACGTTCTTCCTTCTGCTATCATTCTGCTCATAAAGTGGTTATTTATTTCACTGTCGGACATAATTTTCATAATTTTCGTTCTGATTTGTTCTAACATTTGCGTTACTACTATTAGAACTTCGCTCATTGTATCCGGAGATTTTGCAATAGAAATAGATTCAGGTGATTGTTCCACTAGCACGCTAGCATAACTTCTTTTGGGAGCCGTTAGGATAGAAGCTTTGTCTTTTCCTTCGTCAGTTTTTTTGTTTGTATTTGATGTTGGTTTGTAGCTGCTTATAGATCGAACAACCTTTATAATTTGCAGGATGGTTTCCTTCGCATTCAGTACTTCTTCCTTGGATTGGACATTGAGACGAAGAATGATTTTTTGCACATTTGATGCACCTTGGATATCTTCGACAATAACTTTTCATGTGGCCATAGTCTTGGCACTTACTACATTGTGGAATGTCCGGTTTAGGACGAGGAGCCTCAAACGTGACACGACTATGCATCAAATTCTTTATGCTGTAGATCTCCTTGTTATTTTCGATTCTCTGTGTTTCATATTGAACACGTTTAGAGCTTTATAGCCCATTTTCGCCAGAGCTGTTTTAATGTCCTCGATGTTGACAGACAAATGCATGTTTCTCAAAATAGCTTTAAAATTTTATTCATCTTTAGGCTTGTAGGTATAAAATTCATTTTTTTTCGATTCGAGTTGTTTTACTATCGTAACATAAGACTCAGTGGTTTTTGCTTGGATTTTTACTTTTTCGTTGTTTAAAACTTTTAGTTCAAAATTGTTTCCTACTTGAAGTAATATTAATAAATAATACCACGAATTTTTTTTTGTTTGTTGTCAGCAGTGGTGATTAGTTGCCAAGAACCCCACTCCAACAGTAACATCAAAGCTGACAGAACATATAATAAGTGGCGTTATTTTGAGAATCTGAAGGAACTAGTTGCATAAGCCGAGGACTTTGAAATCTTACGCCTCGAACAGGAAAGATCCACTCATAACCGGCCACGTAAGAAACGTAATCATACCATTAAAATCCAGAAAACGAGAATAGATAAACCCAAATTGGCCTGTCGTCGCTGTGGGCAATGCGGACACATTGCCAATAGATGCCAAGGGCACCCAATACTATTGTGTTGGGATTGTGACACCAAGAATATATGTACCATTGTCTCTGGCCGATAATATTCAGGAAGCGACAACCGAAAGCGCTTTACCCCACGGATAGCTAATCCTACCAACAGGAGCCCTGTGAATTTCATACAAAGCAACTATATGTAAAGAACGCCCAGATAAAGGCAACAATCAGACTGGATACGCATACTCTAGAAGCCGCCATTGACACTGGCGCTTCACGAAGCTTCATTTCCAAACACTGGTAGAAAAATTAGGACTCCCACCAAAGAAAATCAAGACTATCATTAAAGTTGGAATGGAAGACGATACAACACACGTTCTCACATGTGAAATAAAAGTTACACAACAACTAGGAATATATACTATAGGAGTAGAACTTATGGTCCTTTTAAAAAGCACGGTTAGAAATCAACTTAAAATCAGACCAAACACACAACGAAACCAACCAGATGTTCATCAAGCAATATCCAGAATAACCTACGTCTCTTTAACAACACACGTCACATCCTTGCCAACGAACTCAACTCGTAAGTCAACAATCTACAACTAATCCTAGCTAACGTCAATTAAGCAATACGATAACAACTCCGGATCAACCGATAACACAATCCATTATCAGGAAATCACATTCCCAACAATCGGACAAAAATAAACTGATACAGCAATTTTTTAATAAAGACCTACAGGAATCCCAACATCACAGCTCACAAAATTATCATGAAGTATGATCGTCCAATAAAGCAGAGGTACTTTCTAACGCATCCAGCTATGCAACAAATAATCAAACTAGAAAACGATTGCATCGAACCGTCCAACAATTCATACAGTGCCCTTGTAGTATTGGTTAAAAAGAAAAATGGAATTTGGCGTTTTTGCATAAATTATTGACTAATAATTTATGCTAATTTCATACCAGACGAGTATATATTGCCACGTATCCACCATATCTTGAATCGATTGCAAAACACTAAATTCATTAGTAGTACCGATTTGAAGGATGGATAATGGTAGATACCTATGGAGAACGATAGCAAACAGTCCACTGCTTTTACAGCACCAGGTAGAGGCCCATTTCATTGGCGTGTGTTACCATGTGGCTTACATTCCGCACCGGCCACTTTCCAACGACCAGTCGATCAAGTTATAGAAGTGGATTTGGAACTCATACATTCCCGGAAGACATTATTGTCACAGGTACAATATTTGAACACCATCTTCAAAATTTACGAGAGGTTTTACGGTGACAGCGAAACTCAGGATTAATGTTGAAATGTCAGAATTTTTTAAAACCGAGACTAAGTACCTAGGGCATATCGTAATTTCACAAGGATAACATACAGGTCCAGCAGCAACAAGCATTTCAAAAGATTAAAACATGTCTAATTGAGGCACCCATTTTCACGTGTCCCGACTTTAACAAAGAGTTTTGTCTCCAGACAGACGCGAGTAACATAGGTTTAGGGTCGGTTTTGTTAGCACATTCATGAAAGAGTAATTGCATATGCTAACAAACACCTTATTGCATCAGAAATGAACTATTCGGCCACAGAAAAGGAATCGTATGGGCTATCAGAAAAGCGCCTTTATCTAGAATGTTATAAGTTTACACAGGTCGTGCTACACACGACCTTGAAATACAGTAAGATAGATTTGATTTATAATATCATGGAGGTTAAGGTTATAAAGTGAAGTTAAACGTAGTAGTAGATGCACTGTCCAGACAACCATTACAAAACACCAGGCAAATTTAAATAACCAATAACACCACACGCAATAGTTGGTATAAGCAGAAGTTGAACTAACTCACACGAAATCCAGAACAAAACCCCGACTTTATAATTTCGCACAGCACCAACGAACTACTACAACGGATGCTGGACATTGTAACGCAGCCAGTCGGTCAAATACCGCAACCACCGAGAGCACCACCTTCTCCAAACTTTTATTTCCTAAATCCTAAACTAGACGCTAAATTAATATCAGGCTAATGAATAGCGTTCAGCAGAACAATAAACGGAACTGTATACACAGTAAGAATGATGCGTATAGGCAAGGCAATAGTATGAATCTTTCCCTAATCGATGCAAACACTGTATGAAAAATTATAAATTAATGCATGCCACTGAAATTTAATTAAATAAAGAAATACGCAAAATTCAAGTATTTGTTTTATTTTTTATTTTTTATTTGTTACACTTTTGTTAATTCACAAATAAAATAATATAACACAGTTTATAATTTAGAAATTACATAAATAAAATAAAAATAAACAAAATCACGTTTACCCAAATGTCAGACAGAAACAAATATGACAGTCGTAAAGAGAATAGAGTTTTATCCGTGCGCACAAATCACATCGAAAATAGGAGCAGCTGTAAACAAAACACATGAGAGTGTGGAAAACGAATATCAATGCGCACACATACATTGATGATAATAATACAAACCAGCTGTAAACATAACATTTGGGCTACGTTACAGTTGGGACGGATGCATATATCACACGGTTAGGTTCGTATTCTTCTATGTAATAAAGTATGTAAATACCTGAAGCCTTTGTGATATCAAGACCATGATGCGTGATAATTTATCACATCCTTTATTACAAGTGTAACTGTTCTTCATGTTGACTATCACCTCGACATAACAGAACACCATGGATCTAGAGAGGGAAAACTTGATACAACCCGTCATCTCCAGTGTTATTTAACCCGTGCCGATGAGACGAACGGCACTATGTTAGTGTGTCCTCAATAGCGGAGAACTAGGCTTTATAGAGCTCAAAACCTTCGGACACCACGTGTCAAAATAGGGCACCCACCGCGCCCTAGCAATAATAAAAAGATGCCCATCAATACACCACAAAACCTATTCACGCGTTCTGACTTGCATATGCATACCACTTCTGACTAACTGATGAATATGGACGTTACTTTCTCAAGTTCCACTCCAACTCCCTCAATTGCATCAGAGGAGACCGCTATCTCTTTGATGAAGAGAAGCTTCTAAACTCAGGTAATGAATCTGAGAAACATGGAGCGCTCGGTGTAACGGTGGTGGACATAACCACATCCACAACGAGACATTATGCGGATACTACAGAATAACATGCAACACTACAAAGCCACGTTCAAATTCAAATGAACGTTACTTTACGTGAGTTACTTTTTGATTTTATTTTCAATAATAACGTAATTATATGCAATGGCGGAAATAGGCCAACCTTTGGTACCAAAAACAGACAGGAAGGCCAGATATCACAGTCGCTACTGCCAAACTTCATGGGTCTATCAAAAAATTCAAATGGATGGAAATATTTTAAGCTAGTGTATTAGATTTTATATGGGATTGGCTCATAAACGTATACACGCTTATAATAGGTTAGGACAGATATAAACGTATACACGCTTATAATAGGTTTGGACAGATATAAACGTATACACGCTTAAAATAGGTTTGGACAGATATAAACGTACACATGCTTATAATAGGTTTGGACAGATATATGGTAAACGTATACACGCTTATAAGGAAATATA